TCTATAAAACGGGAAAAATGAAATGTTTTTATTTAAAACTAAGAAGTCGAAATGTTCGATAAACAGAAGATTCTTCAATGTAAAAAAAAAAATAAAAAATTCCTAGTGTATTTATAGTATGTGAGAAAACATATCAAGTCACTAATTGCAGAAGTGTCTAACTTTTCTATTCATGTAATTTTTCATTCTATATTTCGATATTCTATTTTGATAACAATTTGCAAAAAGCGATGATATTTTTTCAATCACAATCTAGAATATTTAAACAAAAAAACTATTCGGTAATACAGTAGAGAGTCGTTTATCCGAAGGTCGGTTATCCGAAGGAATTTCAGTTGACAAATTTAAATTTTCGTCAGTGCTGTGGTGCGCTGCAATCTTTGGCTATGTCTTGGGCTACTCAAATATTTTACGTTTTTGATACTAAATTAACATCTGAAGTATAATTATTTATTGTTTTTATATTTTTCAATATATTTATTTTGTTTGTACAAAATAAAAAAAATAATTTTTAACGATACAATAGTCTTCGTTAAGCTTAACATCGACGAAAATTCAACGCGAAGCAACACGCAACGGAGAAAAATTTCAACACGGAATAGGTTAATTTCGTACATAATCGTTTATGCGAAAAATAAGTTATCCGAACCACCCCAGTCCCTAATTGATTCGGATAAACGACGCTCTACTGTATTTTTATTAGAGAATTTAAATTACACGAAAATAATTCAATGATTTGTTCTTTCCTTTCTACGTATTTTAATTGAATGTAGAGGTGTTTTATGAAATACGTAAAATCACTTTTACAAAAAGTAAAGAAATACAACTGCTTAGATTATAATAATTGACAAATATAAAAATTGTCGTAATTATCAAACAATATTAAAACAGCATTAAAAACCGTATAAAAACCGTTAAAAAACATTAAGATATAAGTAACAAGAGTAAAAACATTCAAGTTCTTCTGTGCGTTAAGTTCATATTAAATCTCATCTTAATCAGTTTTCTTTAAAATCCTGAAATAAAACAAAGATTAATTAAAATTCTTTTCCTTAAATGGGTTTTCATTTAGAATTAAACAAAATTATATACTTCATTGTTATTATTATTATTAATTGCTTTATCAAAACTTATGCATGAATTATGGATGCCTTTTTGGAAGGAAAATAAAATTCATAATTGCTAAACTTCTACACACTGAGGAATTACACTGTAAATACGCTTTTCACACAGTCGTACGAAACACAATATATACAATGATTGTGCCATAATAATAGAAAAAACAACTTTACCACAACAGAACATACATCATGTTCATTGTCGAAAAATAGTCATACATTAAAGGCATAGCTGTGTAATTTGTATGTTGCAGGTAAACACTCAAAACATACAAAATAGATATACGTCAAAAGAATTGTTAAATACTCAGAATTTGTTTACGAAATAAGACATTTTTGGAAAATGGATGGAGTTACAGTACTTATTAATCTATATATATATATATGTTACAGTCAAAACCCGTTTTTAGTTAGAACGCGTTTTAACTAGTTGAAACTAGTTTATGCTGAATGTCTTTGTTAAAACTTGTTTTGTCTAGTTAAAACTAGTTTTAACTCAAATTCATTTTTGACTAGCAGTAAATTCTAGTTTTAACTAGACAAAACGG